TCAGACATGGCCCAGTCGCGCCCTCAATGGCGCTCGTGCATCCAAGCTATTGCCTTCAATGCATAACTCCTTTTCCAACCCCCCCCCACTTGACAGCCCACTGACAGTGCTGGGTTTATGCACCAATTTACCAGCTCGCGCGTGCAATGCGCAGCTACCTCCCCCCTCCCCCCAAATCATCGGCGAACGAAACTGCGGCAGCTACAGCTACTATACGACGAGTACGCGGTTCTTACAGCTGACAATGATGATGGTTCTCCAATCACAGCCAAAACTTATCCATGAGTGTGGTAGCCATGTATTTGGCAATGTAATCCGGGGAAACTATTCGACGATTTCTGCTTCATTGAGGAACGTATGCCTCGGGGAACGAGATAGCTTTAAGAGACCGATTTCAATCCAACTCAGGAGGATGTGGTGAAGTAGTCTTAGCTGGGGTAAATGGTCTCTATTCCGAAGCCTGTTGAATGCGAAGCTTATTGCTCTGTGTAACTCATTCCATTGTCGCTTGTCGTGTGAGAGGTAGTCCGCATCCAGTTAATAACTGTGGTGTATACATCCTATCAGGTAAACCCAGTGCTGTTGTCTGCATCCAACCTGTGGCTGTATCTGCAATGACTGATAAACGATTCCCTTGAGGCCGCTAGCCGCACCATGTACGTCGGATGCTATGACAACGTCACTTCTCCCGTATCGTACTGCACTGTGATGACAAGCTAAATGAATCTACTATATCTTTGGAGTCTTTTGGCACTTGATCAGGTGGGTGGGTAGCACATATTTCCGAACACGAAGTATTCGTATTCATGAAGCTCACTGTTTCATATGAGAGGGATTTAAGGTCCGTCACGTCGATCGTTTGACGGCACCAGCGAGTGGGTGCTGTGAAAATATAGTGATGAGTGCTGGATTATGTGCGCTTATGTTCCCTCCTACTGCTTTGACATATTTGCTGTTTCACTGTTGTTTTCTCGATTTTCGTTTTTTTGACGGCAGCAAGCCTAGTGCCTATAGGTCGGACACCAACGTCATCTTATCCTGTGACTATGAAAGGTGAACCTAAAATTCTGATGATAGATGATTTACGCCACCCTGTTTTCGCCCATCTGTACTGTTTTTCTGTTCCCTCTGTCACTGACGAATGATCATTAATGGAATGTTATACGGAAATAACTGTTTTCGGAGTCTGAGGCGTTATCGCATCACACGACGATCTCATGTTCATTCTTTTTGCAGGTCTATGATGTCTCTATTTTCACTGGATGGCTCTGTTTAATTCCGGTTGCAAGCCTTGCATTACACGTTTCCACCATCGGTCTGAAAATGTCTCATCCTTTAGTTGCGGCGGCCTCTGGAATCATCGTACGCGCCATAGAATTGGAAAAACAAAATAAACTCACAGAAAGCTTGGTATGTTTTCAGGAAGGGATCGGCATACTAATCAAGGCTCTACGGTCTCTTTCGAGTAACGATGGTACGCTGCATTTTTTACTATTTAATCAATAACTTGACCACCAGACAGCAATCTAAAGAGCCATTTGAGGCAAAAGGTGACAGACTATATGGATAAGGCGGAGAAACTAAAAGATTCGATCAAACGTGAAACCGCTAGTAATTCTGAATGCGTCAGTTTAAAGCTGAGTAGAGGGCAATTATCATGAGCAGATGACGATCTCCGAAGGGAGCACTGGTTATGGTTATCAACGTATATTCGGTCGGTTCTTGAACGAGGGGACTATACAAGAAGTGTGGGTAGAAGATCCGTACATTCGGTCGAGTTTCCAGGTATGCCGTTTTTGTTCTCATCCCTGATTTTCAACCACGCGGTTGCTTTTAGATAGAAAACTTTTCACATTTTTGTGAGATTCTTGTCCGATCAGAGTCACCTATACGAAATGTACACTTATTAACTGGAGTAGATACACAGGTAAATGAAAACTAACTTATTTATGCTGGGTGTTCGAAAACAATGTGGGACTTTGTTTTCTAATTCGACTTGTGTGTCTTAGATAGGCATTGCGTGGACGACGGTCGTTGGGCTTGTGGCCCTGGCGATCAAACAGAAAATCATGAGAAACGCTTAGGTGGTTCTTCCACAGATGTCTTCTCTAGCTCCACAGATAACGGTGTGAGATAGCTCAGTTCTTCAAGCGCGACGCCACTGACCGGAAGGCCCATAGTTTGAAGCCAACCATGGCTTTTCAACTGCTTCTGTTTAGATTTGGGCCAGCTGTTAGTACCTCAGTCCTTGCGCTTGCTTCGAGTTGTATAGCGACTAAGCACTCAGAGGGCACCTCAGCCTAACGAATCGGACGTTTTCCAACGGTCCGTAAACCTCTCACTTCAGAGAGTAAGGCGTAAAAACATTGTTGCTATCGAAATAGCATTTGAGCGCTTTTCATTGGTTTGGTTGTTTGTTTTCGACTACATTTGGTCTACTCAGGAAGCAAAGCGACAAAGACGCGTATCTCATGGACAACTATAATTGGTTGGCCAGGTTTTCAAAGATTGTATTTATATACCCCCTAAAGAACCACAGATCATTTTCAGTAAAAATGTCAAATGTGATCAGTGGATAGAGGTATGACACACAGTCTGCCCACCGTGCGCGTTGCGAGTACGTGGCAGTTTCTCCCTTAAACCTTGGACGTTCACCACTAATTTTCGGCCGGGCTTTTGAGGTGGAAATTTTTGGTTTAGAACTCTAACCGTTCCGCTCTCTGGGTTTGCCCCCCCCCCGAAGCACACAGACCATTATGATGGCAAAACAAGGAGAGGTGGACCACTATGACAGCGAGAATAGACTCGGATGGTCGGGGTCCCATAGCCAGTTTTTTAAGTGCTTCCAAATTGATTATGCAAGAGCTACCCTGGTTTCCCTGATCAAGGGAAGATGGCAATGCCAACGGATCTGTTCAAGCCTCCAACAAACCGTGCGGCGTATTTCGCAAACGTGGCCCACGCCACCTAATTAGACGCAAGTATGTGTGTAGTGTGTTTTTACAAGTCACCGAATTTCCGCAAGAAGTCAAGCTGAGGAATCCGTGATTGATTGTACAGTTCGGTTTAGTTAAGCAGCCTTAAATTATGTACCGCTGGCTCGTAGGTTCCAGTGGGGGAGCAGTGAAGTAATAGCAGTGCATTGGAGGCGATGGTATACTCCGTCATTTGGTGTCGAATCAGTCTAGTTGTCTGATGGAGCGGGAAACTGGACAGTTGTGACTGTTCCAGGGAGCAATGCCTCAGTAGGATCTTGTTTTTACTAAAATGACTGACAAGAACTTTCACCGATTTAGCATACTTGGATCCTCTTTTCCTTAAGCGAGCTTTTCGACCGTAAAGTTCTTGCCTATTTTCAGAACAATGCAAATCCTTCTCAATCGTTCCCTACAGAACCCGGATGAGCAGCTGAAAAAATTTCAACTGTTGAAGTCCGACTTATGGCAACATCGTGTTGTTTTCGATTGGGTATTTTCGGATACCTTGCATGATCGAGAGATTCGGTGAGTCATCACTATTCAAGTCCATACAGGAGAAATGATCTGCTTCACCAATCTTCACACAGTCATTTGTCGGTTGTTTGGTTTACAAATTTGAGACACGTCGCATCCCATGGTCTAAAATGCAGGTCACATTTTTTCAAACTGGAGACTAGCCGCGATTCAAAGTTCTATTCTTCAGTGGGCGAGATGGTCCAAGTGGTCAGAGCGCGAATTTACTGAATCCGACCTCCGCCATTCGACTTCCCCTGTCTAGGCTTGGGCAACCTGGCAGTATCCCAGCCCTCGTGCATGACAGCTAGGCACCGGAAGGGTGCTACAGCTGAACGCTTCTTCTTCGGTTGATCATAGATGGTTTTGGGATGTGAGTTTTGGCTGTTTGTTTCAAGTGGCCAAATCGGCGGAGCTAGTTTTGCATCAGACTGTATTCTACTGTAACGCTGTCCTTTAAAGAAATTTTATGTTCGGGATTTGGTTTTTCCAACTGACCTGAGAGGGTTTATGCAGGTGAAATCGATCAGGAACATAAACACGCCAACCATTATAGTGTACAGGTTTCGCTGACGTAAAGTGATCAAAGTGGCAAAACAACCCGGTGTATTACAATTATTGAACCTATGTGCCACTGACGACCGTTGCGGATGCGTCCTCAAAACAGCCAAATGCTGGCAAATATTGGCATTTGCAGTTCGTGCGTCCAGTTCACTACCAGCCGTTCAGCTTGTGGATAATGTACTTCCAAGATAGCAGAGATCCGTACAATGTGTGATCTCAGGACCACTTAATGTTATATCTGCTGATTCGTCAATCTGTGGTATCTGCTGCTGACCCGCTCCAGTGCCTAGTGTCGGAGAGAAAAGACTCACAGAAGGGAACACAACAGCTGTATTCCGAACAAGCGAGTGAGTGAGAGAGCAAAAGTTACAACGGCCCCACGCTGTTTAAAGGGGACTTTCTGACATTGATCCAGGCTGTCTGATAGGCGTTAGTGATCACCCATCAACATCGATCGTGCCTCTGTGAAAAGCCCGAACGCTGATCACATTCGGCCGTACTTCTGTGGCCGCAAGAACACTCATCAGGTCTTGCTGAATTGATTGAATGATTGATTGGCCTGGATGCTTGCCGGCTTTCCAGTCGAGTTTTTGGTGGAGCAGTAGGTTCCCGGCGTTCTGAAGTTGCTTTCAGGAATCTGACCTTCCTGATACTTAACTTGTGTTTTATTTTGAGTTCCCAGTGCAGGCCGACCATAATCAACCGTTTTTTGAATATTTATAATTAAGCCAAAGCGAAACACCACTGACCGGACCCTCATAGTTAGCCACCGCAATTCTGTTTCGCGGTGCGATAACAAGGAGCGGTTGTCTGCAAACGGAAGCCTATGGATATTGGACTTGCGCAGAAGTATTTTGACCGGAAAAAGCATCAACTTGAACAAATAACAATCAACCGGTGCTGCATTGCCATACCACTTTCGCATTGGCGGAACTCCTCTGCAAATACGGTCCTTACATAGAGGCCGACCAGGGCTTATGCAAGAACACTCTCATGTTGATTTCGAACTCGGCTGAAATAGTTTCGACTGAAGTTTTATCCAACGTGAAAAGCTTTGGTGAGGCTTACCAATTCGTCCGCAGAACCAAACTTTCATAGGATGATCAACTGTTGACTGAGTCAAAGGCCTTGGTTTTGGGTAGATGGGGCTAGTGACGGTCCTGCAAAATGTGATGTGGCGTGAATTTTTGGTCAACGCAACCTCCTTCTGAAGAGCAGTCTTAACTTCGCTTAATATGATAATCTCAGATCTTTAAAATGGTAAGGTGGCCGAGATTCTGGTTGCTGATAACTCAATAGTTTTCACACAGATTTTTGTTTTTTTTTGGATGTGTGGACTGGTGTATAACTATCCCAATCAACCATACCCATCCAGGCGGCCCACACTGAGGGAATGAGTTTATGAAGAGGTCCGGTTATCGCCGAGAAACGGGCTTCGTATGCTGCCACCGGTATACAGTCACCTGAGGCCCTTTCTTCTGTTTATTTCTATTAATTCTTGTGGGTTGGAACGCCACGGTTTGATACTAAAGTTATCCTTTTCTTTGGTAGGTAGTTGGCTACCAAGGAGGTCTTCGAGCTACCTCCAGAATACAGTGTGTTTTGTAAGTGATGTGATAATCGTTGGGATACCACATGAGAACCTGCTTCCTAGGATGACAATTATCAGTAACAAACAAAAAAGGGGATCATTCTTTCATCATTTTTGCAGCGTTGCCAATGCTACATGCAGCGTGGCGTAGTCTGGTGCACCACTCTTCGCTGTCTAATTATTGGCAGCCATCAGGATATCGCGGACGGGCTTACTACTCACCACTTCTGGCTCATCCTAGAAAATGTTCTTGATAGAACTATTCGATGGGCAACTGAGAGCATGGGAGCAGATTCATTAGAGAGCCTGTGAAGCGAGTTATCGCAATCCGACATGCTACTGGTCACGAGAGAACGTAGTGTCATGTATGTGGTCTTAGTAGCAAGAGAAACACCGTACACACCTCATTTGCCATTTTGGGTTAGTATGGTGCAGTTAGTAGCATTTCCGCACTTGTAATAAGCTTTACTTTAAGCCGCAACCAGGAATCCATGTCACTGATTTGTAGGAAATATCAACCTGATGGCTAAATAGGTAAATGTCATGGTTGGGATATTGCCAGGGCGCCTAAACCTAGACAGGACGATTAGGGTCCTCAACCAAAGCCCTTGACTCAAAAGCCTAACCGCAATGCAGCGGTGTTGGGCTGGAAATATAAGTACATTATCACAGATGTCTCAACCCCCAACTTGGAGGGCTTTTAATATAACTAAAATAGGTTTCGCGTGGTCTCGCCCCGGACGTTAAGAGAAGTATAAGCATTCCAGCAACCTTTGTGCAGCGCATTTTTGGAATTGAGTAGAGAGGAGTTCAGTTCAGTTCATTTTCACAATGGTGAATCGTACCGTAGTTCTGATGGTTGGAGCTCCTGGCATCAGGTAGTGCAACGCAAAGGGAGCATAGAAAAGCATTTTAAAAAGCAAAATAAAATGAGCGGCGGGGTAATGCTTAAGAACAAGAAGATAGATAACATCGTCACTGCTTGCGTGACTGCCATGTCGGTGAGTACCTCCAAACACTGATGTAGTTGGTTTCGGATAGTCCGGTCCCACAGATGACATGCACCGGGAAAGCCAAAGCCCTTTGTTATCTTCATGTTTCGTCCCAGGTCATTCGTCATGCACTTTGTAATAACTTCCAGTCGGAATATGCTTCAACAAACAGGGCATGGTGAGATGATCACCTCGTATGAGGTGCCAACGGTCGAGCCAGCCTAGTTCGTGTAGTCGGATCAACTCGTCGATCGGTCGGTCGGTTGGTTTGTTACCGAAAATTATCCGTCGCATCTCAGCATTGCGAATTCGGTGTTCTCATGATACATGTACTATGCTTCGAAGGCACCTGTGTCCACAGACAACCAGTCTTCTTTTGTCTTCAACACAGGGACTAGGCTTCATGGCCATAAAGGGACAATGGACGCACTGCTGTGTTCTAGATTCTACTTTTCACCGACGAGTCAGTGTTAGGTGGACCCCAGAGGTGTCTAGGGTGAAGGAAAGCAGCGTTGGCTTTAGTGATTTTAACATTCACTTCGTTTGCATTGCTGCCAATTCACATTATATGACTTCAGCCCCTTTGTAGTTCTGATGGCAGGACCAACTTTGGTGATTGCAACGTAAGGGGGAAGGAAGCAAGTCTTCCGTTTTTATCACCCTGAAAGCTGTGCCAGACCGGAGTACATTGCTTACTGAGGGTGATGTAGCATGCTCGTGGCCTTTTAATTGGGATATTGTCGTGATCTATTATGCGAATGTGAGTGCACAACTTCTCCATTGTTCACGAAGCTCATGTTGAGCCTTTATACCGCCATTTTCAACAGGGAGGAACCGTTAAACAGGTGGGTGGTCCCACTTGTTCTGGCGTTCATTCTGGCTTTTACAGATGCGACTCAAAGGGCAGCAATATTTCGTGGTTTCTAGTGACCCATGCATCGTTCGTAGGGGTATTTGATTGTACCATCTGCCGACCGATAGTCCATATTCTGGTGGCATGTGCAAACTTTTTGGCAAAATATCGCTAGTGACGTCGTGGTATCGTTTAGTCCTTGTGTCTTTTTCAGGAGAATTTCGAGAATTTCGAATCAGTTTGTACCAGAACACTCTTGCTCCATTAACGGCAGTATTACACCATGGTTCACACTAGTCTACCACCGTTACGTGAATGTCAGCTGGAACAAGATGTACTTACCCTCTTTGTCTGGTCAGTGCTCTCCTCTTCCAGACCACCAAAGCTAATACAGCGGCTAAAGCAGATGTATTTTCCCACTTAATCGACTGACCGTTTTTGAGAGTGAGGTATGGTGTCGATCCAACCCAAAGTACTTTACTCCTTGCTAGTGCGTTTTACGTACCAAGTGGCTTCGCACGCTAGTTGATGTTATTTAGGGTATGGATCTTTATAGGATCTGATTCATGATCTGATTCATACCTGTATGGTAACCGTACGAAGTTTCTCTGAACAATTCAACTCTGCTACTAGTTAGTGAATAATTGGCAGAAAGTGAATTGTCTTTCATGAATTCATAATATACCAAGCCGACCACAAAACCTATTGAGTATATCAGCTTTTTGGAATCCACCAATGGTGCTGTGTTTCCGTGTCCTTATTAACTCTTGCACCCTAAACCGTTTCCGGGTACTTAGAACGCCCATTTTTTGCACTTTCCTCGCAGATTTGACAACGGGTGGATTGTAAAAATCGGACGTGGTCTCGATTACATACGTCGTCCTGCGCACAAATTTTGTGGTCTTGGTGTTCATGACTACGATTTCCGTCCATGTGCTGCCACAACTGTGGACATTTTTCACCGCTCAAGTTTACGCGTAGAAAAGGATCCCAATCGCTAGATTCCTCATGCTACTTTGGATGTTCAGATCTGTCTTTTGTAATAGAATCTTTTTATTTGAAAAAGCTCATTGTATTTATATGAATATTCTCGTAGGGCTTTTGTTCGGGGACTGTGCCTGTAGCCTCTGACTCAAAAGTTTGACCCAAGAGGCAGCTGACAGCATGGCTTTTTTTGGGGACCCTGCCCGGAGCCGATGACTCAGTAATCTGACCTACTCGGATGCAGGAGTTTAGCCCAACCTGGGGGCGCAGGGAATAAGGCATTACTGTCTCATTCCTGATGCGGCTGCGCACAGAAGGTACCTTTTGGGCAGCATTGGGCTCTTTGGTTTTACAAGTGTTTTGACCGTATTGGATAATGCGCCGGCGATCACGGTCAACCGTTGGGCGATCGGAGTGTGCTGTTTTCAGGGCAGACTTTCTAACCCGTCTTTCCTCGAGGGAAGACAGCATCGCTGCTTCCATAAATGTGGACATACCGGTCGCCTGGGGGAAACACTTTACTGCCTTCATACTCCTGTCGCAGAGGACAGTACAACCTTACCCCCAGACCGTCTCGTAGCACGATTACTCGTCGTACAGGGTCTCGCTCCTCTTTGTCTGACTGGTTCCCTTGGGCCTTCCTGGCGTGGTTGCACCTTGTGGAACAACGTTCCATCCAGTGTAGCCCGCGGGATCGTTGCAGCACTGAAGCCCGACCACCACGTCAAGGTGGCAGCTTTAGGTCAGGGGGCGCCATGTCATCCCTAAGTGTGATTTAATCACTACTGATCAGCTTCTGCCTGATAGTATATCACTGTTTGGAAGGTCGCGCATCCGAATCTTTCTGGAGATTCTTGAGGTGTACACCACTGACTACACTAGACACGAATGAAACAGCTGTACGGAACTCAGGTTGCCTTCACCGGTGGGCTGAATTGCGGAGTGAAGCAAGTGGTTTTTTTCCAAATGAAGGCAAACTGACAAAACCGCTTAACTCCTGAGGTGGTTTAAAGTGTTCTTAAACAAGTCGCTGGACAAAGCTGGAATTTGCTAGGACCATCAGTCGTACCAAGTTGGCCTCCGTGGAGTCAGGCTTTCTAGCTAATCCTCATCCTTCGGTCGTGAGCAGTGCTGAAATGACACAACATCGACGATACTTTATATGTGCAAATGCCAATTATTGCTCTTTGTCATTCATTGTTTCAGCCCCTGTGTTCCACTACATGTAATCACGGTCCAATTGATCAGTTCGCTTTCCAACTGCAGTGAAAACGAACAAGCGAGTTTTTAATGAGTTCCCATCCTGCGTTCAATGAATGAGGCGGAATACGTAGGTTTCATTCACGTTCTACCACGGTTTCACGGTTTCGTTTAGATTCCCATATCCGACTCAGACTCGGACTCGTCACTAAGTGATGATGTAAGGGTATGCCTTGTCAGCTTACCCATATTTCCACCTTCCAGAATGATTTTAAGCACTCCAGAAAGGAAGTCGACAATGATTATGAACAGAATAAAACAACCAACACCACTATTGGAGAGGACTCTGAGGTTTGTATACTCAACCTTATCTGTTCCAAGTACTTTATTCTGGCTCTAGAACTGTCCAATTTGCTTTGAACCCTGGACTTCAACTGGGCCACACAAATTGTGTTGTCTTCGCTGCGGCCATCTCTTTGGACATTCGTATGGTTTTTTCATTATCCTTGTGACACTTTGTGATCCATTTAGTTGCGTTTTGAGATGGATTAGATCACAAGGAAAACAAGGACGATGTCCTCAGTGCAACTCACGGGCATGCGTTAAGGATATCCGCTATATTTACACCAGGAATTTGCGAGTGAGTGTAAATGGGACTTTAAAGACATCACCTGCTTAGTGTTGAAGTTTGCTTTGGTATTTCGCTTAAGACCGATTGTAATCTCAGTCGGTTTGACGTGTAATTCGAACAATCTTGGCCAAGTCTCACTTTACCATCTAACTCTGGGTCCTTTCAAGGTCCTAGACACGTCAGAGCGTGACCGAGCACTTGCTGATTTGGCTATCGAACGGGCTGCACGGCGCAAAGCAGAACAAGATTCGGCCGAGTACAGGGCAAAATACCAGTTGCTCCAAGTGGAACTCAATCAACTCCGAGACGAATTCCATTCTGTGCGTGCTATTTCTCAGATCCTTGGACGCAATCCTGTCCCTACAAAACCAGCGACACAAGCATCGAGGCAAGTTCTCATGTGGATTACCTTTTCGGGGATATTTAGTGTGAACGTTAGGAAGGAATAATACACAGCTCGTTTCTCTAATGCCAGTCGCTGGTTCTCATACTGTTAAGTCTGTTCCGCAACTCTACTTAGTGATGCATCCTCATCAATGGTTTTCTGTGAAATTGTAGGAGGGCTTTCAACTTCCTTCATCTATGCTATTTAAATTTAACAAGAAGGAAAAAAACGCAGCATGTAACCAACGCGGGGATAAAACGAGTATGTAGTTTGAGTGAGTGGTCATTGCTAACACACGACTGAAGACTTGAGCCTCGCACAGAGCCGTGCTATCGAGCAACGTTTGTTTGTCCGCGATAACAGATTTTAGGTCACATAACTCTTGAGCTCGAATCCTAATTAACTCTTTCCGAAAAGTTCGGCAACTGTCTTTATAACGTATCCATGGTCCAATATTGCTTTCCAGGATAGAAGAAATCGCCTACTGTAGAAGCATCCTCGTAATGATTTTTATTATCTTGTTTACTAATTGCATCCATCATCATCATAAGCATGGCATCAGTGTTCAACAGTGATGCTTCGCTTCCGTACAACCATGATTTATTTGAAAGCCTTATTGTGGGGGAAAGGACAAAGGTGGATGAAGAATGGACCTAGTGCCAGCTTATTGGAATTATTCCGAGGTGCCTACATCTCCAGGCACTTATTCAGACAATCTGGATAGAAACTGACAACAGGAACGCCAGACATCGGTTAGCATCCATAACTTACAGCGTCTCCAACCGGGGGGGGGGTTCTCGGGGTCCCCATCCCGGAAGGCTAGTAGCACCAACAGCACCCAAACGTTTCGTAATCTCCTTCATACCCCTCTTCCAGATCAAGGGTTCGCCACCTCTGCTTCCGCCACTCTGAGTTGGGTATAGAAAATACAACTCTCTTCGGCAAACGATAGTTCTGCATTCACAGCACATATCTCAACCAACGCATTTTCTGGTGCTGGACACATTCTTCAATGGAAGTACCTGTTGCATGACCGAAAACCCGCTTTCTACTTGCCTCTTTACGGATTCGCCGACACTAACCCACACGAACTACGGTTCTGAGGCAACGATTGTCGAACACCTGAAAACGTCTCAGTTCCGCTGCTCGAACAGGCCAATTCTCACCTCCATACAGAAAAATAGCCTGCACTGTAGCCTGATACACAAGTCCCTATAGATTCAGGAACATACCACTTTGACGCCATAGGTGTCTCGAATTAGCCAACGCGATCTGAGACTCGTGTGTTGCCCTCTCTGTCGCACTACAATCAGAACTAATACACTTTCCAAGATACGTAAAGCGCTCCACATTTTCGAATGTCTCTCTCTGGATTTAAGTTGCATGTTTAGTGGCTGGATGTCCACGAGCATGACCTACACTCTGTGGGTGCAAAGTGCACACCAAAGGAGGGGATTACTTTGGTTAGTTCATCCAAAAAAAAACACGAGAACGATGTCGTCTACATATTTCAGATCGAAAAGGTTTCCGTCACAGGCTATTTGAATACCGGGGTTTTGAAGGTTTTCCATCGTTCGCCTCATTATTTCATGAACTACGAAATTAAATGGGAATAGAAACTGAGCACCACTTTGGAGAACTCTCCACATATTCCCACACATCCGGAAGTCTGAGATTACAAGGAACTTACTATGTTCACAAACTTCCAGGGCATTCCTTCATAGGGAGGCGTGTTAAGGAGAACAGACCGGTCACCCTAGTTGAATGTGGCGTAATTGGATCCGGAGTGTGATCATTATAAAGTGTGGAAGCCCACAAACCTGTGGTTCGTGACTACTTACTTTTTTCGTGTCTCCGCCTGTCTTAAGGGCGATTACACTGGCTTGACCAGGTATTTTTGAAAGCAACCTCTTCTTCCAACTACCAAAATCCACTGACAGTTTAGTACAGGGTTCCATCCGACTCGGGCCTTTCAGGTGTCGTATCATTTTGAAGCAATTTTTCTCCGCCTAGTCTTTCATGTTAGAATAAAAGTATCCTTATTACTACGTGAGCACAATGTATTTGCTCATGCGGCTTTCGTAATCGCTCATTATTTTTTCGATTGTCCATTTTATTGATTCTACACTTTGTGAAGTAAATGCATATGAGGTCTTTTCTGAAAAGAACCCCAGATTTGACAATACGTCAAAGTTGTGGTAACTCGCGTGCGTTGGTTGGTTGTTAATCAAATTGCTGTTGATGTGTTCTCTGAGCTTGGCAGTTCGCTTGCAGACGGTCCGTTACCGAACGAGAAAACATCACCGTTCGGGAACGAAATGTTTTCAAGAAAAATGCTAGATTTGGCGAACAAACCAACAGTTAGCTGACCATCAACCAACTTCTGATTTATTGTGATCGTATTTTAAGTCTCCTGGCTGAAGACTAGCCAAACGGATCAATTATTCCCACAATATAGAGATTCCAACTATGCTTTTGCCGCTTAAGTACCATTTCCTCGTATTATCGTTTTAGTTTGGAACAGACGCAAACGTCTGCCTATCGTGGTCAGTATGAGTTGATGAAGAGCATTTTGCTTTCAAATGTGAGTTGGTAATTTTTCCAGCTGTTTCTGGATATCCGTCTGCGTGTATTTTGGAAACCGTCTACGTCATTAGTTTTACAATGTGTCACGATACCCCCCTTCCAGTTGAAAAGCAACCGAATGCGTTCGTGTTGGTCAATCGCTCATTTCATTTTTGGTAACGTGTGATGCAGAACAGGAGGAACTTGTTGATGGGTGAAATGCATGCATATCAAAATGGGTCAGATAAACACCGGAAAGCATTGTGGACTAAGTGGTCACACAAACCTATCATAACATGGGACCACTGCTTCCTCTTGGGACCCCACAACTCACTGGCGTTTCTCCTGAGTCTACTTGGATTCACACATGTTCCATCAGTTTCAGGTTTTACTCAATTTAGTTCGCGTTGATGCCTTAATGTGTCCATTTTCCTACCCTTTCAGACTGGAAATTGCCGCGTGATGGCCTCTTGTGACTATCTCAATGCTTTGTGTGTTTCACAACCGTCGAGCAATCCCATTTTCAGGGGCTTCGGTATTCGCAAGGTAATCGAGTTTCTTGTCCTATACTTATTGATGTCCAGCAGTTAAGCGGTGTGTTTCTCTAAACTGCCATAAGAATCTCTGCTAACGGATTCACTGTGATCGCCAATTCTAGTTTTGCCTTTAGTGCATACTTGCTCGATATATGAAGTTTTCGTGTGGTGCGTAAACTCAAACTGTCAGCAATTCGATTTGGAGATGCCGACGGTTACCCATCCCCCAGCACACGTAGCAATTGTACCAGGGCTGTTATCCTACCTCCCATGTGCAAATGAATGATGAGGTTTTGAGGTAGCTGTTGCTTTCTAATCACCGATACACCACCGTCCATCTAATCCGCCCGTATGCATTCTCGGTATATCCAACCTTCTTACGAATCTCAGTAATATTTGTGAGCATACGAACTCGCACCAGACAGATTGTGGCGTTATGTGGATTTTTGCGGAGTGTTTTAACCACCATTAACTTTGTTCCACAAGCTGCTTGCCGATCCTTTGTCCATAGCTACTTGGAATCGTGAAACATACGAGGACAAGAATTTTCCTGTTATCCTACCCGCTGCTCGCACCTTTCTTGCACTTCACAGATTAACACGATTGACCAGCGTCCTTTGAAGTATATACATTTGCATGGGCAACCGATCCGAGATGTTTCTTTCCATCCAGATGCCCAGGACGGTATCCTAATATCAGCGAGCTTGGACAAAACCCTACGACTCACTAGCCTGTTGACGGACCAGGTAGGTCAATTGCACAGTGAGGAGCCTCACGTGACCTGATGTCCTCCAATTCTTTAACTAAAACTAAAGACTGCGGGGCTTACACATGAGCCACTTGGGTTTATTTGTTCATGAATTCAAACGACTATCGTCTGTACCCCTCTTTCACGGCGTTTGAAAGTTATGAAACTCATTATTGATTGTTACGTAAGCTTGGTTGGACATAGGTTGTCTTACGAAGCCTCTCGGTCCCTTGATAGAAACATTCCCAATTTATTTTTCGCCAAACTCTTGGCTATATTATCCTAAAAAAGTATGAGGCCAGTTAATTACCTGAAATCATAGCGAAGAATCCCTCAAAATAGGTGAGTACTAGGGATATTTTGGGTGCAAAAATGCTCTATTCGGTTATGGATCTGTCAAACCGAATTTCGTACAGCTCAATATTTCCTGGTCATCTGTGAATAACTTCCATTTGGTAAGCCTTGGTTATCGGAAGTTACTAGGCAATGGCTTTTATTTCTCCATAAATTCGCAGGTATTCTCGAATGAAGAATAATGGTTGTCGGTTAGTGTAACGATGAATCTCATAAGTGCGTGAGTGGGTCCCTATACTAATCGAAACATGGATAGCCAATCTTTAGGAGTTAATTTCGAATTATTACAGTTCTCTTCCGTTTGTGACCAAGCGTCTTTGGTTTTTCGGCTACTGGTCATTATCTTTGAACCGTTGTCATTTGCTCATTTTCCATTGCTCCAAGTACTTTTGAGGCAGTCCATTCTCACCCCTGGTTGATTAAACCTGCAAGCAGCTTTGCTCACTGTCGTGAATTTTGTTGGTGGCTACAATTGTCGTATTATGGAAGGATCATGTCAAGCAAGTGACCAGAATTGATGGCTTTTGCGATGGACCGTACCATTGGAACACACTTTAAGTGAAAGCGGTTTCACAGTACAAATCGGGAACTGACCTGTCCATGCAGTACCTACCCATAACTCTGCTAATAAATGCCTACTTGCTTGTTGACAAGTAGTGTAATTATCGCTCAAATTCCACTAAATTGGTTCGGACCATGCTGCCTGAATTTCTCCTGGTTCTGTTTGGTTTTTAGGTTGTTCAGACTTACCAGTGCCCATCTCCTGTCTGGAGTTGCTGTTGGGCCTCTCCTAATCCTCATCGCCTCTTTGCCGGCTGTTCAAACGGTACCGTGCAGGTGTTTGACATTCGTGTCACTTCTGGTCCTCTTATCACGTTGTCAATCCCGGATAATTTTTCCCCGGTGATAGGACTCCAGTATGTCCCACAAAGCGACAGTCATACACTTTGTCCCGGTGGTGGTCTTCTGGTTGGACAGCTATCAAAGGTACTGTCGTATTGTCGATATTGTGCCCCTAGTACTGTGCATTATTTTCACCACTAACATGCTATACTTCGGCTTATACCATGGCGCTGTTTGTTTGTCGTACTGGGGCTCTCCTTTGTGCTATTAACTCAAGCTACACATACTGAAATGTTTTCATTCATTCAGATAACGTTCATGTCAGAAGAGCCAGATACCACTATTTCTCCAAATGTTCCAACCGTGGAGGCTGCTACCGAGGTGGTCGATAACCAGTCCAACATTTCGGTCACTGAGGGCCGAGTATCTCCAGATCTGTTTAGGACGAATTCTAATCCACCCATACCCCCGGTGCTTCAGTCCACTCCAACCTATTCTTCCTACGGATTGCCACTCGAAGGAAGTCTGGTCTCACTTAGCCTGGTACCAGACAGTCGGCATTTCCTTGCGTCGTACCGACCTTCTCATCGACTTCCTCGTGTTCGTCATGTATTGGCTGAACTACTGCGTGAGGAAACACCGTCATCTTCGGAAATCCCAGGCGACCGCCTTTCGTATACATGCCGGGAAGTGCACAATTTATGGGCCGGAGATCGAATGAAGATGCTTACTCGTGCCCGGCTATTCAAAACTTCCGCGGCAGATAATAGTGAGTTAGAATGATTCACAACAGGTTTTTGTCCCTAGCTGATGAGGGTATTAGTCCGTTAGTTGCCGTATCTTCAGTTGATCTTCAAAGGGAAGGAAATGTTTGGAAAGGTTAGTTGCACAATATTCTTTCAGCACACCTAGGAATGTAGTGATCTGTCTTACACTAAGCTCTGCGGAAGTGTGCACTCATCTTTATTCGTTGGACCTTTAGTAACAGGGTTGCTTTGCGTCAGCGGATCCTCTGTGACATCCGGAATAATCATCCCCTGCTCTTGCTGTAAAACTTGGCCCCAAAGAATTGGGCTGCACCCTCAAGCCCCGAATAACCTACTCTCGGTACTGTCCTATGGTTTTAAAAATAGTGCATAATCTAAAATGGTGATAGAGTATACAAACGACAGATTGGGTTACAATTTATACTGTAATGTGTCAGCTCTTTCTGGACACTGCAACGCTTCTTTCTTCCATTACATCTTAAAATTCTACGAGTACAGGGTTCCATTAGATGATTCCACATCACTCTCTTGTGACGATCTTTTACAGTGCTCTGATGCGGTCGTATTGTTTAAACTATATCAGTGGAGAAGCAGTACACTGGAGCTCATTGGTAGTACACATTCCCAGTCGTATCGAGGTTTGACTTCTCTTCATATAAAATACAAACTCACGTGCTGCCCACACCACGCCCACTTGAATTATGCCTTCAGGACAGGTAGACATGCTTTCTTTTGGACCCTATGTATAGTCTTTGTATTTATCTACGTACAGTCATATCTATTCTGTCTATGACGATTGGCTTTCTACCTCCCGGGACTTCGTTGTCAGTTAGAGTTGACGAACGCTTCAAGCATGTCGGACATATGCCTACATATGAGTTGTTGCATTACCAGTCGCATTTATCTTGTCCGCAGCACTCCCATTTGAATGATCACCGTCCTTAGCGAAATACACTCATTTGCAAACCTATTTGGTTTTGTGAGGGACTCACCCGGAATCCGGCTGAGCCTTCGTTTACGATGTTTTTAATCAACTGAATTTGCTGCACCAGGCCGCTTCGTGTTTCATTCGGAACGATATTCGAGATATCGCAATACATTTATAGGTAATACACTATCCATAATTTTGTGGGAAACTCTTCGGCAGCCCATGACCGGTTTCTCTCTTCTAGGGGCTCATCAGATAGGCGCAGTCCATGAGTTTCCGTCAACATTATGTTCTACTTGAACCCCAAAAAGAGCGAAACCGGTCGTGGGCGCGACCTTATGAGTAGTGCATTACGAACCCCGTCCTGTTTTGATGCCGGTGATGAAAGGGACCCCCTAGATCCGAGTTTCGTTCTTATCAAATTTGTGTCACTCAGTGCCTTCAATCCGGTTCCTAGTCCATGAATAAAACAATGTTCCTTTTCCGGTGAATTTTTCTAACTTACAAGGATAACGTTAAAATCTAACAGGAGCCTCCGCACAGCTGAACCTGTGAACGTGTTCCTTCATCCTGATTGGTACCCGCCAAATCGTTTAGAACTCTTTATTTTTCTCTTTGTTTATTTCATCAAACTACTCTGCCCTTCAACGAAAACCTTTTTTCATTGACCTAGCATTGTTGGCGGTTGCCGGCTGTGAAAATGCCGGTGGTGTATTGGTTTGGCGTTGCGATACAGGGATGCGAATACAAACCATACAACCCCCAGACACGACCGCCGAGAACCCATTAATTGATATCTGTCCCTATTCAACCACAAGCCCCGCTATCGGTTTCTCCGATCGGCCTATGCTAGCCCTACTCAGCGAACGGACATTACATTTATACCGATGGATAACCACTGACAGTTGATTTTATTGAATTGCATGTACATAAGATGTGTCGTATTCTAGCATTGTATAAATTACTACTTTCTGTATTACTTTGGTCACGTACATCAGAACCGTTCATTATCTCTTCTGTGGCTTACCCGCACATGTCCCTTGGGAATGAATTGAGAAAAAGTCAGCGTGCAGTGATCCGTTCTCCGACCCCCTTCAGGGCCCTTTTACAAGACGCACCAAGTCTATCACCCTACGTTTAGCTGTCGGTGGGAATTTCGTTGGCAATCCCATTATCTTCTAGTTAGATGGTCTGTTATGGCTTACTGCTTTTTGTGTACGCTTTGGTCACCATACCATGCATCATAACAGCGCCCGTATAAGTAAATTGGTACCGTGGTTTCTAGTGATTCGCGGCAGTTTCAGACACTCAAAACAGGTGAGAAGTTTCTTCAGCGTTCACTTTCAGAAATTGCACAGTTCGAAAACGGATTCAGCCCACCTTGTGAAAGAAAGCTGTAGGGAACCAAATATGAAGTGTGGTGAAACAACACTGGCGCATCCATATATACAAAGTCTTCGAACGGACCGCTGCCGTCGGTCATATGAGGATGTGAAAAGTTCATATAATCTATCAGGAGGGCCCCCGGTGAATGATTTAAGGTTCAAACAACTGCATGCACTTACTGAGCACGTGACACTTTCTCCAGTGATTGAATTTTGCCAACTTTTTGAAAAGAGAATTTCAACGTAGCTCACACTTTCCTTTCTCCATACACTAGGCAACATACATGACTCTTCAGTTTCTGAACAGCATCGATTCATTCTGGCACAGGATATTTGGCAACACTGTTGAATTATGTGAACCCGTGGAAGTCGTGTGGATTACTGACGGTTTGATTTAGGCGGTTTCCGTTGTCTGTTGCTATCGATTTCTCCTCCATTGTGCAACTGCGATAAATAGGGTTGGTGAAAGCCTCTTGTGCCTAATGACATTACTAGGGAAACGAATCTCAGATTATCTTTGTAATGTACTACTCATAAGGGTGCTGAAAACCCGTCGACAGCCCACGACCGGTTTCGCCCTTCTTGGGGCTCATCAGGTAGGCACAGTCCCCTGGTTTCCGTCAACCTTATGTTCTACTTGAAACCAAATTGCACGAAATTAGCGAATATACACTCATTTGCAAACTAATTTGGTTTTTGCGAGAGACTCACCTGGAACCCAGCTGAATCTCTCGTTTGTGATGTTCTCAGGCAACTGAATGTGCTGCACCAGGCCGCCTCATGTTTCAGTCGCTACGCCATTCGAGACATTACTAGAGACCGAAACGGATCTCAGATTAGTTCACTCATCTCTCCGTACATTTTTCCGAATGAAGCGTTAGCGTAACTACAACCTATTTACTCATGGTGACCTTGGAGCCCGCAGCAGTCACGTAGGGATGTGTGCCCATTATTGTTTAAACTAGAGGTACCGAACTGCTTACGCGTTGACGTCAAAGAATTTTAACTGTAGAAGGACTATTTCCTAAACCGAAAGAATAAGTTTGTAAGGTAAATTACATTTGAAAAAATAATCAATAATTTGCTTCTTGTGGCTGTATCTTCCTTAAGTCTAGTAATTTCACTGGTATCGGGGCTCGAACTAACGCCATGCAGATAGAATCTTCAGTGTTTGGTACATTTTTGAATGTTTCGGCTAAACGTCGTATAGCGGATTCGGGTCAGTTTGTTCACCTAGATTTCGAAAGCAGCAATCTGGTATGTCTTGGGAGGAGACGAAAAACTGGTGTGCCTTTTTCAGCTACTCTATCCAATGGAAACAACTTGAGACACTTATATGCCCATTGCTGGTCATCTACGCGTGGTGAATGTCAGCTTGGATGTCTCAATACTACTGTCCAAATGTGAAGCAATGTAAGACACGTCGGCTTTTCAAAAGTGACTATTCAAAACTAAATCTCACATCGGTACGGTTTACATAGGGCGATGAGCATCGACCAACATTGCCTTCACAATGACATCAGTAGTTAATCAGTTTGCAGGGCATGGACCGATAAATAATTTCTGTACTGCGTAGACCAATCGGTTCTCCTAAGTTCTGGACAATTTTCTTTCTGGTCGTATGAGGTTCGCTTTTTCGATTTCAGGTGATCTCATGACAATCTCGTCAAGTCACGGCTATGATAAAAATGTGTGATTTACGAGCACAACTATTCCTTAAGTAGTTTCTATCTAAATGGCACTCTGAATGCAAGGAATTTTAGGAGTCAATTTTTCCGACACAACTTCTTGCTCACTTGAACTGGGAATACCTGACATCTATGGAGGAAGGCTCAAACGAGTGGCTGAAAGTGCAATCCACAACATCGACCTCGTTGTGCTCTAGTGCTTTAGCAAAATGGACTAAGTTATAGTCTTCCCAGGTTAATCAAGGCAGCCCTATTGATTGCCCGTGCTTGTTTGTTTCACTTAGTGTTTTTAGGAGCAGTCCCCCCCACAGTTTTCGACGGTTTGTCATGGGAAATTCGAGAATTTCGCCTTCTGAAATTAGGGTGTAGGCTTAGGCTTCCTAATTCCTCACGGTTGTGTGAAAAAAGTTACTGCATAGCTCAAAGTATTCTTGTGACTTATGTACATGGGGCTCATTTCAGTTTTATTTTGTGGTCAACTAGGTTTCTTTTCAATCCCTCCTGCTGTCTTACAACACATGCATAAGGTTCGATTTATCTTCCGACTCATAGTATGAGTCATCAGCGGTCATGTCTTTGTGAAGCCCATCCACATTTCTACGAATAACTCACCCGTTTTGATCAGGTATAGAATTTCTCTCCTATCCAAGGTGTTGTGGCTTTGAAGTCGAAATAAATCTAGGTACATGGTTTTCTGACTTCTTTCATATTGCTTTTAAAGTATACCTGGATAAGTTTCGGTTGTTTACAATTGGAAATTTCTTTCGTCAGAAGTTGCGAAAAGTCCTGGCGAAAAACAATTTTGTGCTTGTCAATTTTCCGTTAATTAAAGAACAAAGCGCTTATTGTAATGCGTGTTCCAAAAGTGCATACACCAGTCGGCAAAAATGCAGCTAGTTGGGCAACCACTGGTATTCGCTTGGAGACGGGCTGAACACGTTGGGGACGACGCTGTAACCAGTCGTGTACCTTACCGTTTCTGGTGAGGACCTGACGTTATTCTGTCACACCAGGCAGCGTGCACCTTAAACTTACGGTCATTGGTACGTGTTATTGCAGCTGTATCGTACGATGCAATCGATTGTCTTACCCCATGTTACTGTACAGTCTGTTTGTGCGCAGTCTAACTGCACCCGTTCGTTTAATACCGGAAAATTGTAGGCTAGCAAGCCAATGCAGTGTAAAGTAACTGGGTTGTCCACGTAGTTGAGCCCCACCGTCATACTTCTGAGACCGACTATATCCAGTGTTGAATCGGGATGTCTAGGTTGTGAATCATTCCGTGTGATGTTCCAACGCAGTCATCTACACCTACGAGTTAAATGGGTGTTGTGCCCCGCAGTTTAACTGTCACTTCGTCTCATCGGTTGACGGTTTGCTAGGACCAAAACGAGACCGTCGGTGTTTGAGAATCAAAGAAATTAATGTAAAATGTTTGATACATTTAAAAGCATAGCAATGGACAGTAAGGCAACAGTTACGCGAGTTGGTGAAAAATCTTGAAATGTGACCTTAAGTCCTATGAAGAGCGAGTTTTGAAAAGGCAAGATCTTGAATATTCAAACACCATACCATTAACGCAGCTATAAAGTGCCGAATGCCTGGTGGCCATATTAGGCTTTACCTCATGTTGATTTTGTCAGAACACTACCTTAAGTGGGAGAGAGTAATAAGACGGTACAATGGAAAGGTTTACCGTTTCGAGCAATCACCAACAGCTTTGGCCTAGAAGCGTAAACTGTCTGGCCTGCGGGCTCTCAGTGTGGCAACGTGGTTGGTTTCCTGAATGCCAGACTGTGTCCAGGGGATATAACGCCGGTTAGCTATCCGCATGCCTTTGTTCGGTACCTCCAACTTCCACCTGACGGATCTTAATGAGGGAAAAGCGTTAATGTGAAAGAGTTTCTCAGGACCCGACATAACCTTGACTGGAACATCCTGTTCGATTCCAAGTCTGTTTTAGTCCTGAGGAGGAAATGTGAGGATCGATGATTAACTGGACACAACATTCTGATTGTTTCTCAGTAGTTTACCACGCTGAGGAAGGAACGGATTTTCTGTTGCTGTCGCCTTTTGGCATACAGTGTAATGATGCATCGGGCGGTTACATTCCGGGAGTTCTCGTTCCTCCGTCTGCCAGAGTAGGTTTCCAAAGTGTGAGTTGTTTGAAGACCAAATAAGATTAGTCACCACCTTATTGTTGACTTCTCAGTGGAAAACACTGAATCCCTCGTAGGTGCGACGACCTGGAGTATGAAAAGGAAGAACTGATTTCGAAAGCTTACGACACTATTTACATAAAATTAAGCAGAATCATACGGAACACATCCATTGTCCATGTTGTTAGGTTCAACAGGAAGTGAGCGAGCCTTTACAGTGCAACCTCAAAGTCCACACGCGAGGTAATGGCGAGCTGAATGGGGTGATGACTGTGGTTGCCCTAGCACTGATCGCGGCTCAGTGGTGGTGCTACAATACGAGTGTTGGGGAAGGACACGTCAGAACCTGACGAGTAGATGGACCCAGTACGGGACTTGGTATGTAGGTGTAGTGAAACAAATATACACGAAAGAATACCGGTGTCGGGTGCGAAGGCCGTGACAAGGAAAAACAATGGAATTCATGCTCCCACCACTCTCGTTTGAACAGTCGACCTACCGTCCCAGCGTAAGTATTCTAATAAGTCCACATCAAAGGGTGGAAGCACACAGAGTAGGTGGATAAAGGGGGAAGTTATCAGGCTATCAAGTTGGGTTCAATCATCAGTGCTTATTGTCTGGCGACACTCCTCATTTGGCCACATGTGAATTACATGAAATCAAAAAAGACACGAGAAGAGAGAACCCTGAGGAAATCAGTCATTAGGCACTGATTTTACAAACAAGTAGGGGAAGCATTTTCCCAGAACCACGGTATTATTAAAAAATCAGAGCGTGAATTCCGTTGAGTATGGGGCATCACTGATTGGGGCCACCCTTGCACCTATGGTTTAATCTACGGGGCTAAATTATTTAGTTGTCTCTAATTACAGTCACCAGCTGAGTTCAGTGGTGGCTTCCAGACTGCCCACATCAGCTCACCCACGTTGTTATAACATTGAGTTTATATAGGGTTAGAGGGCACACAGACGGTTCCCTGTATAGATCGTTATTCTCCACTCCAATTAAAGTCACTTTGTAATGAAAAATTGAGGTGCACCCATGTTGGGAACCATCAGCAGTGAGAAACTCACTAATCTTAAGGGGAATTCGAACCCGCGACCTCTTGGCTAGTATCTGAACACTTCACCGCGTGGCCACGAGCTGAACACCAATGTGATTAAGTTGAAAATGTACAGGATGAGAGTTACTTATTCTTCAGCCTACACATGATTCCCGAGTTACTTATACCACGGTCGACCCAGCAGCTGTAGTTGAATGTGAAGACTCACAGTACCCTCTTGTGCATAGTGACAGGTGGACAAAAAAAACATTATTTGACAAACGTATGTCCAGCGCGTCATAGTTAATCCACCTGTTACTGTATCCATCCAACGCCGAGTTGCACCACTGCGCATAGTGAAGGTGGACAAAAAAAACATTATTTGACAAACGTATGTCCAGCGCGTCATAGTTAATCCACCTGTTACTGTATCCATCCAACGCCGAGTTGCACCGCTGCTACAACAGGACCGATAAGTTGATACTGAAAGTTGACATGACCAGCCAAAACTAGCCCGAACAGAGGTGTTTTATCTACTGCACCAATGTACGTTTTTGTGCGAGGGCTGGGACCAAAACTTCCCAAAGTAGGCGTCAGCACAGAATTTGCGTGGGTTTCAATGTATGAAATTGCATTCCATTAGGTTATTTGAATATTAGCGTAAGCATTCAGTCCTGAGAAATCCGTCCGAATTTACTGTTCTCTGTGATCGTGTTTTTCTCTTTCATACAAAACATACTAACAATCTCAGGGAACTCATCAAGAGAGTTTACACAAAATGTGCGAACACTGTAGAGCGGTTGATAACAAGGCGAAATTCGTTGTATCCGCTTTTCAAATAACATCAAAGAATGGTTATGGTGCACTTGATCCTGGTATCTACTATTCTGAGTTTGGGGTGCCGAAAATGATTCTAGGACTGATGTCGCTTGCACGTACAGTGAAAATCCGCCGCGGGGATTTGGTTTGACTAAAACCTATTTCGTTGCTCCTTTGAGATGTCGTAATGGGAATGATAGTAAAAGGCCTCTTCAAAGTCAGTGTAGAACGAATCTTGAATGACTGGGGAGCAGTACTGTAGACTTTTCAACACAGTAACCCCCTATCGAGGGAATATTTCCTAAGCAGAAGCGACTGCTGTAACCAACCCTAGTTGATTGCAACATTTCGTAGTGACTATGAAAGTTGAGCACCTTTTTGTTGCCCTTGTGTTTGACGTCAGCATGTTGATCTGATCAACAGTTTTGAATAATTCATAATCTCGTTTCGAAGCTGAAAAAGTTTTAGAGGAAGAATAGTATGAGAGGAAAATACACAAGTAATCGATCTTCCTTGCCTAAAGCTAGCTCGACTTATGCTGGAGGGTAAGTCGATAATTCATAACGAACAATAGACAAGTGACAGGAAGGGACAGATATGCTTACCTGGACATTGCTACAACCACCTTGGATCGATACTGACCGTGAACAGTTAGCAGCACATAGTTTACAACCAGAAACCAGCTCCTTGTTAGCGCTGCACATAATGTTTACACATTTCTTGTGGCAAATGTTCTCTTCCGTGTGAACTTCACGAACTCGCTACACTACAGACGGCGCCGACGTTCAAAAGGATTGCGTCACATTTTGTGTCCAACTTTTTGGAAGCGCAGTGAACTAAACTTTCGAACCTTTTGGAGCTTATTGACTGTTTGCAGTGATTGTATGCGTGTAGAAGGATGGAAAATTCATCCCATAGAAACCAAGTCGACGCCAACAGACGTGTAGCATAACATATGGCATGTTTCGTGAGTGAAAACCCATGACCGACGATACGCTCTCACTTTCTTGCCGATCATGTGGAGATGCCGTTTTGTGAACTTCGTGGTTATATACGTTATCCGAACATCATAGAGAACACGCATGTTCGTTCCCGCTGATAAATGGTCACGTACGTGAGCATGGCAGGCAGTAAATAGTAACTGAATCGCCACCCGTTTGAACGTGTGGAATTTGACGACGACCCACTATAAAAACCTCTGTGCCCTTGCGTTCTTAACGTTGATGAAAAAACCAAGCGAGTAGTTTACCCGGTAAGTTATCTATGATCCAAATTTCCTTACCGAGTTGCTGTGTTATATTTCTTTTTATACATGAGGCTAGGTTGTTTATTTTTACGGAAACTGAACGGGACTGTCTGACAGTCATCCGACTTTTCAGAAGTATCTTTTGTTGATATTAACTTAAACCCATGGCGTAAAGGTAGTGGGTCATTTTAACTAGCACGTTTGGACTATCGTTATTAGCTGTGGAGGTTTTCCTGAAAAGAGCACGAATGAATTGACCTCATGGCTGCAACTTTGGTCTGAAGCCCGGCTTCATACTCACTGGGCAAACGTTCGACTGACTGTCCTGGTAGGGATAATAGTGTAAGGATTTTTGTGTCAGGTAAACTTTCATACGGCCCCATATGTGACACTACGTGTGAATCCGTTTGGTATTGATTCATTCAAATGTGACGAAATTTCGCCTGACAAATTGTCGATCGAGGACTTGGTAACATCAGATGAGAACTAAGAGATTAAGGGGTGTACTGCAATGTCAGACCTTGGTACAGTTTAGGTTATGTTCTGCCGAACTGTCATGTTCCGTTGTAATCCTCAGCTTGCAGTCTAGACTATCTGTAAGGGTTCGTAAGATCTGCACTCCTGATGAGGCCCAACAAGGATGAATTGTCTGCAGAGTTCTTCTAGGCTTTTCAGCATATTCTTACTTGTAAGGCAAAATACAAGTCTGGGATATTACTACGAGAAAGCTTCAAGAACATACTACCGTGCCCGTAGGAAGCAGAGATTCAAAGCTCTTGAAATTTTCGTGATGAAAATCTTCCATGTAAGCACTAGTGCAGCAAGCGACACCCTTTAGTTGGTTTGACATTTGTGCACAGAAAATCATCATTACTTGCCTAAATTCACTTTCACCGGCCAAACTGCAACAGCTGCACACGAATTTACATGTTTTTCTAGTTTTTGTTCGATATTCCGGATCGCCTTTAACATGTATCATGGATCACTGCGAAATGAGGTCGACCAAGGTGGCACTTACCAACCCTTGATTTGGTGTCATTGTTTGGTGCCTTCTTACTTAGAACGCGGGAAAAGGTGCCAGTCATATGAAGCGCGCAATTTGGGCACAAGATATAGAGCGCATACAGATTGCTTTGGCATTCGTGTGGACACCACAGTCCAGAGCAAGCAAATCGTCAGCGGACCATAGATTGAAAAAAAACAAATCTCCTAGTTTAGCACAACATTATTAGAAAATCGGGGGGTAAATAAAATTCAACTTTTCACGGAACTCTTTTGACAAAAAACTCCGGAAATTTCATCTGTAATACTTTTTCATTTTAAAGATATGGAGCAAGCGGGAACTTAACTTTTAATGTTTTGTAATCTGCAGGCAACTCTGGGAAAACTGATTTCATTTTCTGAAAAAACCGGAACATCTGGTAAGAGAGACATGTTACAATGGAATTCCCCTGGAGCTACACTGTCATTGCGCTTGATGGGTAATACTTGGCAGCTGTCATTTCTTGAGGTTATTCTCCTATGCTTTGATGACATTCACTTAGGAATACAGCGTGTTCCACGGGTCTCTGTTTGTCGCTGTTTGCTCCGTTATGCACCCATTCGCCATGAAGATATTGCCTGATCCATCAGTTTACAATGTAATACCGTATGCTTGCACATTCGCCTGCCCATCGTTCTATCGCTCATCGTTGCACCGCCCATCGTTTTTTTCCCTATTGCATTGCTGACCAGTCACAAACATCGCGGTAAGCCCGAGCAGTCCTTTTTACACAACTTGACCATAACATGGCAGATTACTTGAGTTCCCTACCTGAATTACGATACTTACTGCGAAACTCTGTTGCGCTCATACTGATAGTTTCAGTAATAAGTTAGTTTACATGCACCCACAATATGAACTCTTAAAGGACGGTGTATACGGAAATCTAACCACGTCGCATGCTCTGTACCGGAATACTTCTGTGCGCTCGGATACTT